GAGAGTGTTCCTGAAATCCCACCCTAATTGGTCAGTTGAAATCCACTAACTGCAGAAATGTGCATTCTCTAGCTCAGAAATGGAAAGTTTGCAAATATCCTGAACATTTTCCTCAGTGAGGAGTGGCTGAGGCACGGATCCCTGGGATCCACCCAGAGTCTGTGTTGGTAGGTCTGAGGTGTGCTCTGGGAATTTGCATTTTTTTATTTTTTATTTTCTTGTTAATCTTCACCCAAGGATATTTTTCCAGTTTTTCTTTTCTTTTCGTCCTTCCTTCCTTCCTTCCTTCCTTCCTTCCTTCCTTCCTTTCTTTTTTTTTTTAAGATAGAGTGGAAGGGAGGGACAGAAAAATATATATAGAGAGAAACATTAATGTGAGAGAGACACATTGATTGGCCTGCTCCCACATGACCCTGACCAGGGCCAACCCAGCAACTCTTGACCCTTCAGTCTGAGGGCCAAAGCTCTTACTGCTGAGTCAAACAGGCCAGGGCTGGGAATTTGCATTTTTAACAGGTAGCCAGGTGATTCTGCTGCTGTTCAGAATCCCCTAGGGAAAGGCAATCGGTTGACTAGTGCTCTGCTGAGGGGTAAGTCGCTGTCAGAGCTGGGTTGGAACGTTCCGCCTGGAAGCTGTTGCTAGAAGTGATCTCCCACAAACCTGCTCCTCAGTCTTCCTGTCACAGTAACTGGAAGCTTCAACCTTTCAGTGTCCTCTTCCTATCCCCTCTCTGCTACCTCTCTCTCCTCTCTCCACCCCCACTCCATCCACTGGCAAACCTGCCAACTCCGCCCTCCATGTTCCAGGTCTGGTCCCTTCTCCTTGCCACCAGCACTTCCTACTGCAGAGGCACCCGCTTGTGCCTGAGGTTCCTGAAGTCAGATCATGCTACTCTTCTGCTGAAACTCCTCCAGCGCACTCAGACTCCAGTCCTCTCCTCCCTATGACTAGAGGTCCTAGGAAAACTGCAGGGTTACTGCTCTGCCTTCTCTCCTTTGCCCTCCCCTTCCGGCCTCTGGCCCCCTTCTCCTGAGGCCTGAAATTTAGAAGAGCAAATCGCCTTCCCCCTCTTGTCCTGAGCTAAATTTCTGCACCGCTCTTGACACAATCCTCCATACTAAATCATTTACCTGGGTCTTGACTTCTGCCGAGGAGACTGTAAGCTCAGCACAGGAATAAGTTGTCTTTAGTTTTCTGCTACAGCTCTAATTCCTAGACCAGCACCAGGCCCATAGTGAGTGCGCAATAAACATTTCTTGAATTAATGAATGAAAGAAAATTGCAACAAGCATTTACTTTTCACCTAATAAGCTGACACCGTAAATATTAAGTGAGCACACCTGTGCCTGCAGGCAGGCATGGAAAAGGGGTCCCAAAAGGAAGCCTTCTGTGCCCCCTCATGAGGAGCAAACCTGTCATCGTGCCCTGGTGTTGCTGTCCTGGGGCTGGAAGGCTGAGCTTGTGTTCTTGACCCAATAAGTTCCATCCTGAGAATGCAGTGTCTTACACACACCAGTTTTTAAAAAAATCCCCAGGCCAGCTTACCAAGAACTAATTTAATCCATGGCTTGTCTCATAATAACCTTTCATGGGAGTCTAACCATTATTTTTTGTTGTCAGAAAAATGTAGTCTGCATGCCAGTCAGCTAAAACGTCTGCAGAGCTGCATGTGTACGTGGCTGACTGCCTGGCTGTGCCTCTTCCAGCCATATCAAAGCCATGCCCACACCTAATGCGTCCATTAAATTAACCCAGTCTCCATGTCTGTAGGCCGCCTGCATCCCATCTCTCCCCGTTTATATAACCCAACCTTGGAATGGGAATTGGGTTGGAGAACAAGTCTTCACAAAATCACAAACAGAGGGAACATAAAACAAATCCATCATTTGGGGGGGGGGGGGGTGCAGAGCAGTGTTAGAGTTTGGTTTTATTTTTACCTGAATTTCCTGAAAAATACCTACCGTTTAGACCTGCATGAGATTGCTTTCTTACCTTGTGCTCAGAAGTATGTTAACATTTACGATGAACATTAGCAACTGCTGGCAATAAGCTGTGAGCAGAGGTGTCGTCCTGGTGTTAGAGATGAGGAAACTGAGACACTGCATTTCCTGGTGTCCCAGGGCCCCCTGAGCCATGGTGGTGCTTGGTTCTAGAGCTTGGCCCCCCTCCCCTTCCCCAACCCTTCCCCCGAGTCCCAGAGGGAGCTCCCTGGTGGCAGCCGGTCCCTCCAGGGGCCACTTCTTTGCACTTGGTTGTGACTTTGAGCTGGAGAAAACTGAGACTTCCACATACCCAAGTTACATTTATTTCTTTTTACCGAAACTGAGTTTTCATCCCCGTCCTTAAACCAAAGGTAGACAGGAACCTCTTATCATAATTTTTATCATTATCTATTCCATCTTGAGTTTTTGCCACTTTTCTGTTTTAAAAAATGTTTTCATGTTCACCAAACTGGAATTTCTCAGCTGTGTCCTCAGGCCCTGTCCCAAATCTTGAGTCACCAGTTTAGCTTCATTCTCACTCTGTTCCCAGATGTCCCTCCTGAGTCAAGATGATCTGTCCTGCCACCCCCTCAGCGTGTTGCTTGCTCAGGAATCTGTAAGCAGCAAAGTACTATCCCCAAGGCAATGCTGCGGTGCTGCCCTGGCCTCCGTCTCCCCATGTCTCCCGGGGTGCTGCGGGACCCCCTGGGGGGCTCTGCCCCCTCTCCCGGTGCCTCCCAGAGTGCTGCGGGGCCCACCTGGGGGGCTCTGCCCCCTCTTCCTTGTGTGTCTCCCACAGTGCTGCGGGGCCCACCTGGGGGGCTCTGCCTTTCCTGCCAGTACACCTGGTGCATAAAATGCGACTCAGACCTTCCTTGCTGAAGCCTCTGCTGACTAAGCCCAGCACCTGATTGGTCCTGAAGCCAGCTCTCATGCTGCAGGCCCAGGGTTCCCCTGGAGGCGTAATAGAGTGCAGCTGTGAAGAATCTGGAGCCAGACTTCCTGGGTTCAAACCCCAACTCTGCCACCTCCTGCCTGTGTGACTTCAGGAAAGGCACTTTAATCTGTACTTCAGTTTACTCATCTACGAAACCCATCCAAAGCATCCCCTGCTCTGTGGAAATGAAGTCCATAGGATAGTGTCTGGCATGTCTTAAGCACTGTGTCCGTGTTACTTTGTTCTTCCTGGCGGATGCTGTCTTTATGGAGCTGTAGTGTGACCTAGGTAGTGCTGCATCGTCCCCCATTGGCTTCTTTGTTTATGTTCTCTGCTGGGATTCTGGGTAAACATGGATTTTTCATTATTTTCCTTCCCCTCTCATTTCCTCCTTCCCAGACCTAGACCTGGGACACAACAGCCACCTGGTTTTCCCTAAGATAGGGCGAACTGTCCTCCTCGGGAGCTGGCTCCGTGCAGCAGTCTAGCACTGGAGTCCTGTGCCACCCTGTTTGGTGGTCAGCATGCTTCTGGCGTCTCCCCCACCCAGCCCCTGGGGACACAGGAGCAGAGGTGTGCACAGCCCTGTTACCTCCTGGTGGCTATGCTCAGGATTGGCACCATCCTATCAGGGAGAAAGCCCTCTCTTGCCCATCAGCGCCCACCCCCAGCCACATCCCACCCACTTGGCCATTTCCCTTCTGATTGATGGTGTCTGTGCCAATTCCTTTGTTTCTTGGTAGCACACGTGGCCTTCTTCCTTTGTCCTGAGTGGGACACGGAAGGAACTGGAGCATCGCTATTGCCCGGGTCTGCCGCGGCTCCTAGAAGAGCTGTGGCTGTGACCAGGCTCTTGCTGCGGAGAAGTCCTGCTTGGGCCACACCCACCACGAGGGAACTTGCAAAGACTCAGAGTATTTCTTTTTTTTTTTTATCCTCACCTGAGGACACTTTTTTTTTTTTTTTTAATCCTCATCCGAGGACATTTTTCCATTTTTTGTACAGACAGAGTGGGAGGGAGAGAGAGGAAGAGAGAGAGAGAGAAACATCGATGTGAAAGGGACACATCGAGTGGCTGCCACCCGCACGACCAACCAGGGCCAGGGACAAACTGCAACCGAGGTACATGCCCTTAGCGGGAACCGAACCCGGGTCTCTCCGGACCGCAGGCGGACGCTCTAACCGCTGAGCCAAACCGGCCAGGGCTCTTTTTTTTTTTTTGTCCTCACCCGAGGACATTTTTGCATTTATCTTCAGATAGAGCGGGAGGGAGAGAGAGAGGAAGAGAAAGAAACATCCATGTAAGAGAGACACATCGAGTGGTTGCCACCCACATGACCTCAACCAGGGCCGGGGACAAACTGCAACCGAGGTACATGCCCTTAGCGGAACCGAACCCCGGTCTCTCTGGTCCGCGGGCCGATGCTCTAACCGTTGGGCAAACCGCCCAGGGCAAGACTCTGAGTGCTTAACAGCCGATGGATTCCCTGGTCTTCCACCCTCCCCCTCCCGTCCTCCCCACACACTTTCCGAAGGGGGCTGTGTGTCCTTTAAGGCCCTTCTCCCTCAGGAAAACTATTTTTCCCGTGTGGTGAGACAACGATCGGTTATTCTCTTTCACTTCAGGGTCACCTAGAAGAGAAGAATGAATGGTTAGCCACAAAAGAACATGTCTTTCTTCTGTCTTCCTCTTAAGGGGCCATTACTATCAGGCTGAACCAAAACTGTTATCTTTGGCCATTTTTGACCCACAAGAGGGAAGTTCGGTGCAGGCCAGCCTCCCTCGCTCGCACGGGTCGGCTCTCTGACTGCACCTGGAGCCAGTGGGGACGCTCATCCTGGTCACCCGCTTGGCGGTGAGACCAGATGGGCGCCGTCAGCAGCTCTTCTGGCCAGAAGGCCCCGCGAGTTGATTCCCCTGTGTCGAATGTTGTTCCTGTCTCCTGGACATCAAAACCCCATGTGTTTATGACCGTCTATCCGATGTCAGGGAGCAGAGGCGGCGTCCACGATGAAGCTGGCAGCGCCGACGCCGCTGGATCGCTTAGTTCTTCTAATGCAAGTTTGTTTCCCTTTCCAGTCCTCACCCCCAGAGCTCCCAGCAAGCAGACCTGCGAACACAACCACAGACACTGCTCCCGCAGCGCCTTCTGCACCGACTACGCCACCGGCTTCTGCTGCCACTGCCAGTCCCAGTTTCACGGAAACGGGCAGCACTGCCTGCCGGCAGGTGAGGCACTGGCCTGGTGGCCCGGGGCTGCCCCGTGTCTACTTCTGCCGCTCGCTTGTGTCTAGCAGCCGCTGGGAGCTCTGCTTGTAGACCTGTGTCTCTGCTCCTGGAAGCGGAGCCCTGGGGACTTGCAGTTTGGGCTGATCTCCCAACTTGAGGATTAACCAGAGACGTTTGCTCCTTTCTGCCAGCTCGTTAGAGTCAAAGTGGATGGGAGAGAGGGAGGATGGGAGAAAGAGATGGAAGACAGGTGTATTTTGTACTTAGATGGATCAGTGGCTGGGTGAGGAATCCTGAAAATGGCTAAAGGCTGAGTTTCGGGGGTTGCAGCGGAATGATCTTTTCTGTGGGCCCATCTCCAGCCTGGACAGAGGTCGAGGTTGACTGGATGTGCTGGTTTTCAGGCGCACCTCATCGAGTCAATGGGAAAGTGAGTGGTCACCTCCTGGTGGGCCATACACCCGTGACCTTCGACGACGCGGACCTGCACGCTTACATTGTGAGCAATGACGGCAGAGCCTACACGGCCATCAGTCACATCCCACAGCCCGCGGCCCAGGCCCTTCTCCCCCTCACACCAATCGGAGGCCTGTTTGGCTGGCTCTTTGCCGCAGAGAAACCAGGCTGGGAGAACGGCTTCAGCTTCACAGGTGAGCAGGGCCTCTGAGAGGGCCGGTGGTCCCCAGGGCTTTGGGGGCCTTGCTCCTCGGATGCTTATTCAGTGGAGGAGCATTTGCTTCTTCAGTGCGCCAGGGCCGTAGGTGTGTAGTTTTCTGTCTGGAGGTGGTTAGGGATAATTTGGCCTCACAGGACTGTTTTCAAAAGACAGTGGTTTCTAATAAATGGCATCTGCTCCAATTCCTTTGTTCTTTGGTAGCACAAGTGGCCCTCCTGTCTTAATGGACAGGATCACTGGGAGCTGGAAGGAACCGCTGGAGCAGTGAGCCACCCCGGGGCGCTGTGGCTGCCTCCAGGTTGTCCTGACAAACAGCATGATTCCATTGGAGCACTTGTGTCTTCTCACCCCAATCTGTTGAAGTTTGTTTGTCAGACTTAGCTTACATGAGTTTTTATACACAGATCTGTCCAGTAAGGATGCACAAATGGTCACGGTGGGGCACCTGGCGATGACTCTGCGTCATGGGGAAGGGTACACCTTTCTTCTTCTCCCACCCTACCACTCTGACCTCCGTGAGTGTAGACCGGCGCCGCTCAGACTTTATCCAGCACACAGATCCCCGGGGTCCTTGTGACAATGCAGGTTCTCGTTCAGTAGGCCCAGAGTGGGGTCTGTGATTCTGTTTTCCTAGAAGGCTCCCAGGAGATGCAGTAGAAATCGGGAGGTGGGCGCATGCACTGGTAATTCTTACTAGAAGATGAAGACCTCTTTTCATCCCTCCAGGTGCTACATTCATTCATGACATGGAAGTTACTTTCTACCCAGGAAAGGAGAGGGTTCGAATCACTCAAACTGCTGAGGGGCTTGACGCAGAGGACTATCTGATCATCAAAACCAACATTCAGGGCCAGGTGCCCTATATCCCAGCAGGTTTCACAGCCCACGTGGCTCCTTACAAGGAGCTTTATCACTACTCGGACTCAGGTATGGTCTTCACATCTGTAAAATGGGAATAGTACATATCTCTCAAGCTAGTTAGGAGGATTAAGTGTTACTACATGGAATGTCCTTAGACTAGCCTGTGGCACATAAAATAAGCTCAGTGTCATTTTTTATGATTTTGATGTTAATATAAAATTTATAGTGTGCAGGGTGCCAGCTGCTATACACAAGAATCTAAATGTCTCTACCCAGTACTTTCAAATAATACTAATGTAATTATGAACAACCTTGTCTTTGGGGTTGGCAAGGATGTCATAATATAGTTTTTAACCATTTTGCTCTCTGGCCCATGTCAAAACATTGATTGTTGGAATTTATATCCATCCCATGACCTTATATTAGCCTGCTTTAAAATCACAGAGAGACATGCTGCCCAGTGTTGTAAAACTAATGCCAGGTTTGGAGTCAGAAAATCATACCCTGGATTTGCCACTGAAAATAGGTGGGGAAAAGGTCACTCGTCTGAGAGCCTGTTGTCTCATCTTTAGAATGAGAATCACACCTTTTCTGTCTACCTTACATGGTTGAGATGCGTAAAGCGCTGTGTTGGGGAAAACCCGCCCGAGTGCAGATAGTGGCCCAGTCACGGCTGCCGTCCTGCAGCACCGCGGTTTGCTCTGAGGTGCGCCTTTCCCCGGCGCTTCCTCTCCTCCTGTGCGAGGACTGGAAACCGGGCAGGAGACGCAGGGAAGAGGGCTGCTGAGGCCTGGACTGCACACAGAATAGTGGTCGGCCAGGTAACTGGCCTGTGCTCCCAACTCCGGACTCAGATTAAGAGAAGTGATCCCTTCCTGTCCCTGGAACCCTTCACACTTACCAAGTGCGGGGTGTAGGGAGCCGTCAGCTTGTGTGATGTAGAGAACGGACTGGTTAAAATCTCGGGGTGCAAAGTCAGGCCAACTTGAATTCCATTTTTAGCTCCACCACATACCAGCCCTGCATCTTAGACTGACTTCTGTAAGGCTCTGTGCCCATGATCACAGTCCTCACCTCACGGGCTGCTGTGAGGAATAAACAAGGCAGCACATAAAGTCCTCGGCATGGTTGGCACACTGTAGCCCTTACTCTTCACGTATAACGAGCGATGACTGGACTGCCCACCCTCAGCACGTTGGCTGAGTGTCAGCTCAGGTTCTTGGGACTGCCTTGCAGGTTTCCCATGTAGACCCAGGAACTTCCCAAGGGAACATGTTCCAGGAATTAGGTAAAAGACTCTGTGCAGAAAAATACACTCTAGGTGAAAATCTCTGTATTTAATATTTTTCAAATTTACCACTTTGCCTGTATAATGTGTCTGTTGCAGCCGTGACCTCCACAAGTTCCAGAGACTACTCGCTCACCTCTGGTGCTATCAACCAAACATTGTCCTACCGCATCCACCAGAACATCACGTACCAGGCATGCAGGCACGCCCCCAGAAGCCGGGGCACCCCTCACACCCAGCAGCTGAATGTGGACCGGGTCTTTGCCTTGTACAGTGATGAAGAAAAAGTGCTTAGATTTGCTGTGATCAACCAAATTGGCCCTGTCGAAGGTACAGTTTCCTGTTTCGTTGTTCTTAGGCAAAATTACATGGAACCTTTCTTAATTCCTTTTTGAGTGGCCTCAGAATGATTCACAGAGGTTACTAAAGGTCACTGTGCCAGGCTCTGTGTTATGTGCCGGGTGTAAAGACAAATAAAGCAGAGTCCTGTCCCTGAGGTGGAGACAGAGGCAGAAATGGAATTTCGAGAACAGTGTCCTTGCCAAACTCGGGAATAGAGCATCCTATGTGAGGCTAGGTTGTAGCTACAGTTATGAGCAGCAGTCTGTATTGGGGATACACCTGTGAACAAGGTGGAGCCAAGTTAGGGGGAGAATGATGCTGATAGGTAATTGTTATAATTGTGATAAGCACAGTCTGGAGGTTCAGAGAAGCTGTCTCTAAGGAAGTGACATTTTAGCTAAAACTTAAAAGATGAGAAGGATTTCATTAAATCAAAGTGGGACAAAAATTCAGTGCTCCCCAAAAACAAAACAAAATAGAATTGACATGTATGAAAGACCCACAGCTAACATCATACTTAATGAGGAAAGACTGGATGCTTCCCCTATAAGATCAAAAATAAGACAAGGGTTATTAGTCAAGAAAGTGAGATAAAAGACATTGGAAACGGAGAAGTAAAATGATCTCTATTCTTATATGACATGTTCTTATATGTAGAAAAATCTAAGGAATTCGCGTTAAAAAACTATTAGAACGAATAAGTTCAGCAAGGTTGCAGGATACAAGATCAATATACAAAAATTAATTGTATTTCCATATAGTAGCAATGAGCAAGCTGAAAGAAAATTAAGAAAATAATTCCATTTCAAAAAAAATAAAAAAATTAGGAATAAATTATACATCTTTTAAAAGTGCAATATGTCTATATTGAAACCTATAAAACATTTTTTGAAAAAAAATGAAGATCTGAGTAAATTGGAAAACATTCCATGTTCACAAATCAAAAACCTTAATATTGTGAAGACTGCAATGCTTCCTAAATTGAGCTATAGATTCAACACAATCCTGTCAGCTGGGTTTTTTGGAGAAACTGACAAGTTGATCCTAAAAATCTATATGGAAATTTAAGGAGTCCATAAGAACCAAAATCATCTTGAAAAAGAACAACGAAGTTGGAGAACTTATACTTCCTGATTTCAAAAGAGAATAATCAAGACTGTATGCAAGACTGTATGACCCCGGCATAAAGATAGACATACAGGTCAATGGAACAGAAGTGAGAATCCAGAAATACACAATATTTTGTGAATATTCATATACAATTAATACACAATTGATTTTGACAAGGGTGCCAAAATAATTCAATAAGGAGAAAGGCTAATCTTTTTAACAAATGGTTCTGGGACAACTACTGGATATCCACGTGTAAAAGAAGGAAGTTGGACCTCCACCTCATACCATGTACAAAAATTAACTCAAAATGGGTCAAATACTTTAAGATCTAAAATTCTAGAAAAAGACATGGGGTGAATTTCCATAACCTTGAATTTTCTGGTGGCTTCTAAGATAATGATACTAGAAGCATAAGCAACAAAAGAAAAAAATAGATGTATGGATGTCACCAAAGTTAAAAAGTTTGTGCTTCAGAGGACATTATCAAAAAAGAGAAAATATGTGCAACTCATATATTTAGTAAGGGATTTGAATCTAAAATAGATGAAGAAACAGCTTAATAATAAAAAGAAATAATTTAAGTAAAAGATAAGCAAAAATTATGGATAGGCATTTCTCTGAAGATTTGCAAGTGTCCAATGAGCACGTAAAAAGATGCTCCACATCACCCGTCCAGTGTGGCTCAGTGGATTGAGCATCGTCCCATGGACTGAGAGGTCCTGGTTCGATTTCTGGTCAGGGCACATGCCCAGGTTTCGGGGTCGATCCCTGGTAGGGGGTGTGCAGGAAGCAGCCGATCGATGTTTCTCTCTCATATCAATGTTTCTCATATCGATGTTTTTATCTTTCTCTACCTTCCCCTCTCTCTAAAAAAATTAATAAGAACATATTTTAAAATAGGATGCTCAACATCATTAGTTAGCAGGGAGATAAAACCCACAGTGAGATACTACTTTACAAGAATGTGTATGATATAATAAAAGAACACATCAAGTATTGGTAAGAATGTGGAGAAATTGAAACCCTCATACATTGCTGATGTAACTGCAAAATGTGATAGCTGCTGTGAAAAACAGTCTAGCAGTTTCTCAGAGTTAAACACAAATTTACAATTGAGCAATTCTACTCCTAGCTCTAAACTCAAGAGAAATGAAAACATATGTTCCCACAAAAACTTGCACATGAATATTCATAGCAGTGTTATTCATAATGGCCAAAGGCGGAAAAAACCCAACCGTCCATCGGTCGATGAATGAATTTTAAAAATGTCATATATCCATACAGTGGAATATTATTAAACATAAAAAGGAATGAAGACTGCCATACATTACAATATGGATGAGCTTTGAAAACATGCTGAGTGAAGGTAACAAGTTAGAAAAGACAACACATTACAGGATTCCATTTATATAAAATGTCCAGAATAGGCAAATCCAGAGACAGAAGTAGATTAGTGGTTGCCTAGGGCTGAGGAAATAATAGGGGAATAGGTCATTGATAGCTCAAGGGTACAAGGTTCCTTTTTGCAGGGGTTAAAATATTCTAAAATTGATTGTGGTGATGGTGGCACAATTCTGTGAATATACTAAAACCATTTAATTGTGCATTTTATTTTTTTTCATTTTTAAAAATTTCTATTTGCAAGGAATGAGCACTTTAGATGAGTGGATTATATGTAAATAATATCTTAACTGGGGGAAAAAAACCATCACTGTAAAGCAATGGTTCTCATACTTCAGTCTACACTAGCCTCACCTGTAATGCTTGATAAAAATGCAGGTAAAAATGTTCTAGGCCTGCCCTGGCTGGTTGGGCTCAGCAGTTAGAGCGATGGCCTGGGAACCAAACAGTTGCAGGTTCAATCCCCGACCCCTGTCAGGGTCGTGAAGGAGGCATTGATGTGTCTCTCTCACATCAATGTTTCTCTCTCTCCCTCTCCCCTTCCTCCCTCATTTCTTCTGTCTCTCTCTCTCTCCCTTCCCCCTTCCTCCCTCATTTCTTCTGTCTCTCTCTCTTGCCTTCTCCCCCCTCTTCCACTCTCTCTAAAACTCTGGAAAATATCCTCCGGTGAGGATTAACAACAACAAATGTTCTAGGCCTATGAAGGCATGAAAGGACATGAGGAACCGGGTATTGCTGGGTGAAAGAAGCCAGTCTGAAAGGGCTACATACTGTGTGATTCTAACTGTACGACCTTCGAGAGAGACAGTAGAAAGATCAGTGGTTGCCAGGGGTTCGAGGCGGGGAGAGGAGAGGGAGGTACAGCCTACTCTCATCCCCCATGGCACTGCTCCTCCGTGTGGACCTCGCTGGCCTTGAGGCCGCCTTGTAATTCAGACCAAATTTTACAAGAGGGGACGTGTATTTGTAGCCCTTCACGTTTGCACCCGCCTCATCCACCCCCACAGAAAACGGCAGTGCTGTTCATTCTCCCTGAATAGGAGAAAGCCGGGGGAGGGTGCAAAAGAGAAAGAAAAATGACAAAAAGAACCCCCACCCCCACCCCCCGTCACTGCGTAGCAGTATCTTCCTAAGACTTTCCCACTGTTCCAGAGGAGCGATGATCGGTTGGAATGTCTGAAGCAGCACAGCGGCCCTGATGTGGGAGCCCCTGGCTCCCCGGGGGGCCGGGAGGAGCTCTGTGGTCTCCCAGCCCCCAGCCCGCCGCAGCGGTTGGGCTTCAGGCGGGTTGGCTGTCTCCTGCCCTTGCTCCCACTTTGGGGCTCCTTCTGGCGAGTTGAGGAGACTCTGGGCAGAGGGCTCCGTCCTGAAGCTGAACGGGCTGTTCCTTTAAGGAAAACCATTCTTCCCTTCTTGATTAAATGAGTAAATTAGTTCCAGATCCCCTGTCAGAGAGTCCAGCTGTTTAAGAGGGAGGGGGCAAAACAGAAAATGTCCCAAAAAGGGTATTGCTCCTCTTTGCTTACTATAATAGGAGACGAGCTAACAAACCACAGAGAATGAATAGCCACATGGTTTTAGAAATGTGCTTTTGAAAACCGAGTTTAGTCAGCAGGGCCCTGTGCTCAGGTCTTAACACTTGGTTTAATGCTCTGCTGTTGTCTTCTTGGAACGCTTGGTGGTTGCCCTGGCTCCACGTTTTCCCGGTGCACTGGGCTCTGCAAATTCTGTGGCCAGGCCTGTCTGTGACGCGTGTTTTAAATCAGTATCATGGCATTGTGGGCATTTCCCCCCCATTTCAGGGAGGCCAGTGTATCCTGTCCACCTTTGCAAATGCTACATTTTTTTTTTTTCTTTTATGCCCAGCAGGGTGGTGGGCTCTTATATACTCACTCATCTGCTCTGGAATGTACTAAGGTAAAAATTTGATGCTGGAAAGTACTGAGCAAGAAGGCTAAGCATTAGTATTTATAAGTTAAAACATTATGGAGCTCTTGTCCCCCTTTGGCTGGACAGGCCAGGCATTTTGTACGGAACGTTCCCCTAAAGTGGAGAAATAACGAGGGAGAAGCGGGTTCTCGTCTTACACTGGGCCTCCAGGGGGGGCAAGACCCTGTCATTAATGTAGCACAGGCTGGGATTGACTCAGGATCTTGTTGTACACTATTAAGGTAACCCAGCGACCACAACCCCAGGTCTGTGCTTCCATCCTGTCTTCCGAGAGCCCTGGAGAGAGGGATGAGGGGTGTCCAGGGATGTCCGTGAATTGGGGACCGGGCATACACCCGTGTGCTTAGGTTTGGAACGTGCTGAGCCACTGGTTGGTCCTCTCTTCTTGGCATGGATGCTGCTGCTCCAGCCAGTTGTCATTGAGGTGAACCAAGAAGAAATCCATGGCCTGCTTTTGTATTTTTCAGGCCATCCTATGGGAATCAGTGCCATGAGACCATCTCAGGGCCAGACACACTGTGTGCCTCTTAGAAAGCAGAGGGCAGGAGTTGGCCCGAAAGCTCGAGTGTCCCATCAGGGACTCAGCCAAGGCATCCGGTTCCAGCAGGAAACGGGGAGAACCCTAGTGCGGGGAGTGGGCAAGGACGGGGGCACCGGCCAGGCGTCCTGAAGGACTGGGAGGACGTTCAGTCCCTGGGGCAGTGACAGTAGCGAGCCCTTGGGTCCAGACTCGGGGTTACTTTGGGCAGGGCCTGCCCACATGAGGTCCGCAGGTAAGGAGGCATGGGGCAGACAGAAATGAGAAGGAACCCAGAAGGAGGTGGCATTGCCACCGTCCGTCCATAGACGCCAGCACGCTGGTTTCTGGGGACGCGAGGGGCTGATGCGAGCCAGGACTTGGAGCGCACTGAGCTGGCGGCGAAGACGGGGCATCAAGCATGGAAATCCAAGGCAGCCCCAGCTACCGCGACTTGGATCGAGTCCCACCGGCAGCAGAGAGGGCTTGACGTGGAGTCTGGAAGGTTTGGGTGCGGCTTCTGAAATCTTTCCGATCGAAGACCAGAATTCTAGGGAGTGAGACAAAGATAGAATTTCAAGGGAGAAGGAAGAACACAGGCACTGGGAACTGAGTAGGCCTGCCTGGGGGAAGGGCTTTTCACATACATTGTGTTGGATTTTCTTTAACTTCTTCAGTGGTTCTAGCAGATAATAAGCATTCTTTGTATTCTCATTTTATACCTGAGGAATGAAAAGTACATGGAAGTGCCCACGGTTATGAACTCATCCTGGCTGGGTGTTTAGGGCCCTTTCCAGCACGAGCTCTCTGAGCCCTTGGCTTAGACTAGAACACGTTACGAAGTCCCTTTGACTGTAGTTGTGGCAGAATGGTGGAAAGCAGGGTCTCTGGCGCCAGATTGCCTGGCTTTTGGCTGCCATTGTTAATTCTGATCCAAAGATATTTTTTCCATTGATTTTTAGAGAGAGTGTGTGTGTGGAGGGGGACACCAATGAGACAGACACATTGATTGGTTGCCTCCCAAACATGCCCTGACAGGAGCTGAGAATTGAACCTGCAACCCAGGTATGTGCCCTTGACTGAGAATCAAATCCACTACCCTGCCAGGTGCAGGCCAATGCTCTAACCACCAAGCAACACAGGCCAGGGCACTGCCTGGGTTTTTATCCCAACTGCATCCATCTCTTCTGGCTGTGTGATGTCGGGTGGGTTACTCAGCCTCTCTGTGCTGCAGTAACAATGATGATGATACCTTTCTCACAGTGTAGTCATGAGGATTTAAGGGGAAGTGTGTAAAGGGTTTAGAACAGTGCCTGGCAGATAGCACTCAATAAACATTACTATTACACTCTATCTGGAAATAAAATTATTTAGGGAAGATTTCAGATGTTAATAGTCATCACTACTTAGTGGAGAGTGGGTCCGTGGCAAGGTTAGTCCTAAAACGTAAATACTGCAAAAATCATTCCTCTTTATTTTGTAAAAGCAAGGTTTTCTCATTATTTGATTTTGACTTATAGTTAATTTTGGTGAGATATTGCCCAATTTAGAAGCAGAAATTTTTTATGAGTCCTGGCTGTACTGCTTCCTGGCTTTGTGAGCTTGGGCAATTTTTCCAATATTGCTCACTTACTTTCCTCATCTAGGAAGATTACCAGTAATGGGGATGACACACCTCAGAATTACCCTGAGAAGCATTCACATGAGATAACACACCAAAAGCATTTCAAAATAAAAGGATGCCATGTATTGGATATTTTTATTCCCTGGACACAAACCTACTGTATGCAAGAAAAGGTTAGCTGTCTGTCAGATAGGCAAGGGGAAGCCATTCTGGAATTTAAAACTGCTATGCAGATACTCTAGCCTAGCTTTGGATATTAATAATGTTGTAAGGTTGCTACGTGGGCCCCAAACACAAAGTATACGGTTGGTACCAACAACTCTTGGATCTCCTTCCTTTATTGCCATTCTCTTACCAACAGCCAGATTGTGCTGTGGTTTATTTCCTCTCTACCCACACAGAGCACCCAGACCCTGCTCCAGTGAACCCTTGCTATGATGGGAGCCACACATGTGGCACGACAGCTCAGTGCCAGCCGGGGACAGGTGTAGACTACAGCTGCAAGTGCGCATCTGGGTACCAGGGAGATGGACGGAGTTGTGTGGGTAAGTGGTGTGTGCTCTTGCATGGAGTCCTCCAGCACTGTGTTTATAAAAGACAAGGGTCTGTCTGCTTAACCATCTCCGCTGATCCATGAGGTCAGCAGCTGCCAATCTAAAGACGGCAATTTAAAAGCTGAGGTGTATTCTGGTTTGAGAGGACGGTTTAGAGGTGGGTGTTGGGGATGGGACTGTGAAAAGAAAGACATCTATTGCAAGTCCTGGATATTTTGAGTTTTTAGGTTTTGTAATTTTAAGTCTAGATTAAGTATTTCTTACATCTACTAAACAGTACATGTTCCGGTTCTCTTGATTTCAGACATTGTTTCTTCCACCTGTTATATTCCCTCCAAAAGCAGCAGTAGAAATTTCTTTACATTTTAAAAGAAAAATTGCTACATGACATTTTTCTTCCAAATGTTCAAAAGATTTTCAGAATATTTCTTCAAAATATATCTCCCCGTGCAATACTAGGCTAAGTGAAATAAGCCAATCAGAATGACAAATATCACACGATCTCACTTTTTGTGGAATCTAATGAACAAAATAGAGCCAGAGACATGGAAGCAGGGAACAGACTGACAAACCTCAGAGGAAGGGAGGGGAATGGGGGCGTAGGGAGGAGGGTGTCAATGGAGGGAAAAGGAGAAATATCTGTAACAAAAACAAATAAATTAATTAAAAATTACATACATTCTCCCTGGGGTCATACACTTGAATACCGAAATGTTATTTATGATTGCAACATGCATCCGTAGTGGTGCTCAGAAACCCTGCATTTGGACTCCTGATCAGTCCACGACCTGCGAGTCCCGTTGAAGCCTCCTCGGGGTGAGAAAACATGGTTTTCAGACCTTCCACCTGTGGGGCCCTTGACTTGTTCAGCACTTTTCTGTTCTTTTTCTTCCTAGATGTGAATGAATGTGCAACTGGCTTCCATCGCTGTGGCTCCAACTCCGTGTGCACCAACGTGCCGGGAAGCTACCGGTGCGAATGCCGGGGCGGCTACCAGCTGGCGGAGGACCGGCACACTTGCGTCCGTGAGTGCCGCTGGCCCCTCTCCCCAGGAGCGGCTGGGCCTGGGGCTGGGCCTCCGCTCCCTTCCTTAGCCTCCCACTTCCGCCGTTCAGGGGCTCTGCTGGTTGCTTTTTCTAGAAAACATACAGTTTACGTTAAAATAACCCGAGGCCATGGCTCAGTTCAGCCCTGGGGTTCGTTCGTTTTGTTTTCTGTTGCTTTGTTGTTTTTCTCTGAATGGATATTTTTGGTGTTGAGATATTGAAGAGTGTTCGCCCCAGCTGGGACTCCTGTGAGTCTCGGTATCTGGTCCAGTCAGGTAACGAGACTATGAACCTCTCTAATAAATAACAACAGCTCTAGATAGAGGTCAACTATTTCTCAAATTAGAATTAAGTAGATTTGTGTTCAAAGATGCTTCTCCCACTTGACCAGCCAAAGACCTCCATCTATAACAAAATACCCTTTACTAAGGTTCCTGCCACCGCCCCCCCGCAAAAAAAGTGGATCCAAAACAATTAGAATTCCAAATTTAACCCATTGGCAGAGTTTGATGAGATTAGAGAAAATATGCTTTTTAATCCAGTGGGATGAAAAAAGTAGCAGTGATCATAGAGACTGTGTGTGTGTGTGTGTGTGTGTGTGTGTGTGTAACAGGCATTCTGGGGAGATATAAACTTTAATCAAGGACTGTTTGGATGAACTTCGTGCGTAGTGTTTTAACCACAAACCCAGACCAGAACTTCCTGAATTTTAATATGCATACAAACCGTCTGGCGATCTTGTTAAAATTCAGATTCTGATGCCCTGGCTCTGGGACGGGGTCTGAGATGCTGTGTTCCTTCTTAGCCTCCAGATGTCCCAATGCTATTGGTGGGCAGATGGTGCTGTGAAGAGCAAAACTCACCTATTTGCAGGCCTGAACTCTCGGACATCCTTGCCTTCTTCTCTTTTTAGTGATTACCCCGCCTCTCAACCCCTGTGAGGACGGCGGCCATACCTGTGCTCCCGCTGGCCAGGCCTGGTGCACTCACCATGGAGACGGCACCTTCAGCTGCGCCTGCCTGCCTGGTTACACGGGCAATGGGCACCAGTGTGCCGGTGAGTTCCTGCGGGTCAGCCTCAGCAACGATGCAACGTCCCCTTGGGTAACCATCCCCGCTCAGCCGGGACCTGGTTTAGAAAGGACCCCTCCCGTTCTTTGGCTCACACAGCTTTGGAATTGTCAAAAGAGAAAGAAAAGACTTGAGTCAAAAAGAGGGGCCAAGAGGGGACCTCCCTCACCGGACTGTTGAGCATGTATGGCTGTCCTTGGGGGAGATGTGGCTGGGGCATGAGGGCGCCACTGCCGGCTGGCCGCTTCTGGTCCTTGGAGCCCAGCATAGGCTGGAGGGGCTTGGGGAAGGTCTTCGTCTCTGTTAGGGTGTCTTCTTCTTTCCGTCTCTTTGCTTAATGACCTCATTCAGCACTTTCAGTTGTGCCTAATTTTTAGTTGCTATTCCCCTGCTTGGAGTAATATTTTAAATTCTTTTTTCTTTACTGATTTTTAGAGAGAGAGAGAGAAACATCAATGAGAGAGAACATCAATTGGCCACCTCCTGCATGCCCCCAACTGGGGATCGGGCACACAACCTGGGCTTGTGTCCTGACCGGGAATCGAACCAGCGACCTCTTAGTTCATGGGTTGATGCTCAACCACTGAGGCACACTGGCTGGGCTTGAAGTAATATTTTAAGCAATATCTAAACATACATGTAATTCTTGCTCTTAATTTTTTTCCTTCTCTTTCTGTGGGGGGAGAGAGCAAGCATGAGAAACTCTACAGATATAAAAGGATATTAACACACACCTAAGTACTCAAAAATTTTCTCTCAGAAATCTACCTTTAAGACTTTGTACAATATTTTATAAAATCACTGAACCAGAATGCAAGACTCACTATTCAGATTTAACTTAGAAATAATGTGTGAAGTTGTTTCTGAAAAACTAGGTATAACCCTCCAGGTCTAAAGGTTCAAGAAACTGGGATTAGTAGTAGTTTAATCTAGCGACCATTCAGTGTTAATCTACACAGTCCACTCAGTAGCATGTGATTGAGCTGAAATTCAACTTCATGCTGTCTGTCCATTAGTAATACGTGCAGATTATGGTAAAGTCAGACACTGGGGCTGAGGGAATGGTGAGAAGAGGGTTTGGAATGGAAAAAGGTCTCTCTTGGGAGCATCACCCTGGACGGCAGGCGCCCCCCCTCCGGAACTGCTGCTTGCATCTGCCGCTGCACACCTGGGCCCGCTGAGCTGATGTGCCAGGAGCAGCCTTGTCACTCCTGGGAGCTCCATAACACATATAAAGAGCCCGGGCCGTCCCTGGCTGGTGTGGCTCAGTTGGTTGGGCATAGTCCCATCATGGGTTTGATTCCCCATCAGGACACGTGCCTGGATTGCAGGCTTAATCCCCAGTAGGGGGCATGCAAGAGACAGCCAGTAGATGTTTCTCTCTCATATCGATGTTTCTCTTTCTCCCTCTCCCTTCCTCTCTCAAATATATTTTAAAAGAGAAAATAAGCACCCCTCCCTCCTCACTGGAGGTTTGAGTCTCATCCTTCTCCCATTCTTGGCTTCAGCAGGACAGGCTGGCTGGACCAGCAGACTGAGACAGTATGTTACGGACAGACCACATGAGTCGGGGCAGCACAGCCCTCCACTTTCCAGATGTGGAGGGCCACTTGGTCTTGTTTGGATCTTGCTGTTTAATCTATTCATGTTTCCTCTTCTGTATAGAAGCTCTGCTTATGGTTTTCTTGAAAACATAGTTCATATTGAAATGACCTAAAGCTGTGCCTCACCCTCCGTTCAGGCCTGATTCCTCCGATCCTCCACCAAAAAAACCACCCCCAGCTTTAGACAGCTCAAGTGTTTCTCAGATTAGAATGAGGTCGATTTGTAATTCACAGTTGCTTGTCCCATTGGACAGCCATAGAGCTCTGTCTGAATAGGCTCTTTACCGATGGGGGTCCCTTCCACAGGTCTGGGGGTCTGGGTGAGGACCACAGACTCCTTGTTTATGTCAAGCCCCACAGTGGGAATAATGCTTTTTCTACTCTTGTGGGACATATCATTCAGTTCTGTTTAACACACTACTGGTTCTGAGAAATGAGAATACATAGAGAAAAAAAAGTCTTGTCAGTAGAATTTCATATTTCAATATCTGGCTGCTCAGGTCAGCAGAGATGGTGCTTATGAAGTATTTAACGTCTTAGGTCTTTGGCTTAAAGCAGAATAGTTTACATGAATTGCAGTGATGAGTGTTAATCATCAGAATGTTGAGTTAGATGCTACTTTGCCCTAATCCCTCTACAATCATTCTCTCGTCCTATTTTACTCCTACTCTGTCCTGTAAAACTTTGGTTACCTCTGTTGTTCTCTGCTTTTAGAATTCTCTCTGGAACCCACAAATTTACAAATATGCCAGACACATCAGTTGCTTCCCCAGTGTGTTGATGATCTTGCTGTGTAGTGAGTCACCCCAAAGTAGGGCAGCTTAGAACAACACACACTTATTACCTCTAGGTCGGGGCCTGGCTTAGCTGGGTCCTCTCACAAGGGTCCTCTTTAGGGCCCTCAGAAGGCTGCCGTCAAGGGGTCTGGTAGGCTCGGGGTCTCATCTGAAGAACCAATTGGGGAAAGAGCCTCACAGGGTTATTGTAGGATTAAGTCCCTTGAAGGACTGTTGGCCTGAGAACCTCAGGTCCTTGCTGGCTGTTGCCTGGAGGTGACCCTCACGGACCTTTCCAATGAGGAAGTTGACTTTATCAAGGCCAGGGGCAGAAAGTCTGCCAGCAAGATGGAAGTTATAATCACAGAAATGCTATCCCCTCAATAGTACTGCTTTTGTGTATTGGTTAGAAGCAAGTTATTCAAGGGAAGGGGACCACTCAAGAGGTGAATACCAGGAGGGAAGAGGGATCTTTGGGGCAGTCTGAGAGGCTGTCTCCCATAGTCAGTTACCATGTATTTGCCTTCCAAGCTTTCAGACTGTGATAGTACCAAACGAATAGCCGTTTTCCTACAGACCTGCACCGTGCATAAATCAGGCTGGGCTTGCAGTATAAGTGTGTGTGTGTGTTTGTGTGTGTGTATGTACACATGCATGTACATATTTAAAGGCATGTGTCCCAATGACCATATAGATAAGGGCTCTATTTTGTGGAAAGTATGCATTCTTTTTTTTTTTATCCTCACCCAAGGACATTTTTTTGATATTTTGTTCAGATAGAGTGGGAGGGAGGGAGAGAGAGAGAGAGAGAAACATCGACGTGAAAGGGACACATCCAGTGGTCGCCACCCACACGACCCAATCAGGGCCGGGGACAAACTGCAACCGATGTACGTGCCCTTAGTGGGAACCGAACCCAGGTCTCTAGACCGCAGGCCGACGCTCTAACCGCTGAGCCAAACCGGCCAGGGCGAAAGTATGCATTCTTAACACATACTTTAAAAAAAATTCCTGAACTAGCAATAAAAGGGTGTAGGAGTTTTTCTCCAGCCAGTGTGTTAAAATCCTGGTTCCCCGGAGAGGCCGTACTTGGCTTTAGGTTCTCCATCTAGTCTGAGTCATTAGCAGGAAACACTTTATTCAAGTGGAGTTAAATCACTCCTTGCTCCCCTCAGTCTGCAGTGATCTCAGCTCGGTATTGGTAGGAACTGGATGTTTCTCAGGCATGTTTATCCTTACAGATCCTTGGCGACTTTGCCAAGTGCAAAAACAGATTGTCTTGAGTTGGACCTTTCCAGAGAGGAGCAAGTGTGAGTTGAGGAACTGGGTTCCAGATGGCCCGTTACCCAGAGCCTCCGCTGCTCGGGAGGGACACGAGGGGAGGTACTTACATTACTCTCTCAGGTTTTCCGCTCTAAGGATATGATATGAGTAAGGTGTGGTAAAGTTGGTGCAGCCACAGGAGGAGAAAAGAACAAGACTTAAAGGGGAGGAGTTTACTATTATCAGGGGACCAGCGGGGAGTTGGATGTGCCCCGCAGGGCCACAACCAGCAGGATGCTTGACAGAACCGTGGGCGTGAGCACTTGTCGGCCAAGCTTTCTCTGGGGTCTGGAGTGGGAGGGAAGTTAATGGGCACCAGGAAATTTCACTGTATGGTTCAAACCAGATGGGGGTGGGGGAGGCTAGAGTCCACCGAGGGGTTTTGTTTTGAAGGAATTTCAGCTGGTTTGGGGTGTGGCTCAGAATTGGGGCAGTGGGAAGAGCGTTGACGCACCAAAGCATGAACTCAAAGTGGAGGATTTTTAACACATTCTCCAAACAGGTTTTTTGTTAGCTTAACGGACGCTGGAAAGGAGAAGTGTGCTGGGATGGTGCCACCCGTGGTCGTCTGAGTAGTGTGGGGGCAGTGCCATGCCTTGGACATCCTAGCCTTGACCTCCGTGTGCTAACAGCCCTAAAGACCCTTAGTGGTGATCATTAGGCTTAAATGCCCTGCTCCCCCAGGGGTACAAGGAACGCTCCTCCCTTGGCAAGGGGCTGGGAGACTTTCCATATTTTCTCTCCTGACACTTGATATCCTGTGAAATAGAGAAGAGTGCTCTACACAAACGTTCCAGTTACCCCTAAACCCCGCAGTCCGTACTCCTGAGGGGCCACAGCCTGCTCGGAGCTCAGACCCGGGCGTGGCTGACCGACCTCCAGTTTCCTGTCCTGGTGCGAGCTCCTCCAAGGAGGTGTCAGAGAGCTTCAACCTTCTCGGGGTGATGCCTTCAGTCTCTTCAGGGACGTTCTCCCTGTTGGTCATTAAAAAAATTTTTTTTTCTTTATATATTTTAGAGGAAGGGAGAGGGAGAGAGAGAGATAGAAACATCAGTGAGAGAGAAACATTGACCAGCCGCCCCATGCATGCCCCCCACTGGGGATCAGGCCCACAACCTGGGCATGTGCCCTGACCAGGAATCAAACCAGTGACCGCTTGGTGCGTGGGTCGATGCTCAACCACTGAGCCACACCGGCTGGGCTTGTTGGTCATTTCTAACAGTTACTGTCTCCCATGACTTTAGAGTCTGTGGGGATAAAGCTCTCTGTTAAGTCTGATCAAAATTCTAGGCTATAGGCTTGAAGAACGTGGGTAACTCAGTGGCTCTGGGGAGTCCCCTCCCCATTCAGAAAGAACCACAAGAGACTGATGCATGGGTTCTAGAAATAAGCCCTGCGTCTCAGGAATTCCTGCTTCCTGTCACTGCCCGGGTTCCTGTTACCACGGGAAGAACTTTTAGCATATGTATTCTGAATAGCTTTCATTTCCTGCATTTGGTTTCGTGTTAATTTTTATAGCTTTGTTTTATAACCTCTTCCATGCCCAAGGAACTGGATGGTCACCAGCTTTGCCCAACCGGGAATTTTAATTTGCTATAGAAGACAGAGAGCCAACCTCAAGGATCACTAAACATGACAATACAGAACTCATTCATTAGATTGGAGATCAGATTTTATTATTTTTAATTGATTTTTAGAGAGAGGGGAAGGAATAGAGAGACAGAAACATCAATATGAGAGAGAACATCGATCAGCTGCCTCCTGCATGCCCCCCACGGGGGATTTAGCCGAAACCCGGGCATGTGCCCTGACCGGGAATCAAACCATGATGCTCAATCCACTGAGCCACACGGACTGGAGATCAGATTTTTGTTGTAATTGTTTCCATTTGGTTTATTTTGAGTTAACTGAGGAGCTAACCAGTAAACCTTGTTTGTTTCTAACCTTGCCAGTGAATTGATAACTACATTTCTGAGCTCATAGGTGAAGGGTGGCCACGGAGGCCAGGTGCTCATCTGAGCAGAGCCTTTCTGGGCGACACTAACCTTGGTTGTGTCGAGCATTTAGGTTTTTTTTTGTTTTGTTTTGTAACTTAAGGGAGCTAATTTATGTTGCCTAACCTCCCGTAAGACTGAGGATAAGCAGAAGGTTAATTTGCTAATTACAAGGTAAGAGATTCTTCTCCTGTGAACGGAAGGTCTGTTGAATGTCTGGTGTGTCTGCTTACTGGTACCTGGGACAGCCCCCTGGTCACAGGACAGTGGCTCAGTGAGAGTGTGGTGACAGCCAGGGTGGTACTAATAACCCTAGAAGAGATTCCTTCTGGGTCACAGGAGGCTGGGTGAGGGGCCACGTCTGTCCCCAGCCAATCCACATCCGACTCAGGCGGTAAGTCTCGGGCGTCCGGGCTCTAATGTGTCCCTCCATGGGCTGTACCAAGTTGTTGCAGTTTACTGGGGTCCCCGTTCTCTAGGATTCACACTGATCATCCCATCCCACGTTTTTTCCTATTTACACATTTTGAAAACAGTTTTGGGATGTCAGTGCAGATGTGACTATTTTCAGAGAGCCTTGATCAGACCTACACCCTGAGCCTGCTCTTAACTCTGGAAGACTTCCTGTCCCTGAAGACGGCTTATCTCAACCGCTGGGCACTGGTTTTAACAGCCAGACTGTCAGAGATGGTTTTCTTTTCGGTTTTGGGGGAGCAGTGCCTTGCTATTGTTAGCATGTGCTGATTTCATTAAGTAAAAGGAATATAAGTTGGCTTTTGTTTGAAGTTTCAGGATGTTATCGTTTTCAGAAATATGAAAATTCTCATGGTACCGTGGCAAGAGAGAGAGAGAGGGAGACAGACAGAGAGAGAGAGAGAGAGAGAGAGAGAGAGAGTGTGTGTGTGTGTGTGTGTGTTTGAGGATGGGGGTCCTGAATTGTTTGTACCTTATAAGCCTGACAATTTCGATTTTTCTTTCCTTTATTGATTTTAGAGAGAGGAAGGGAGAGAGGGAGAGCTAGAAACATCTATGAGAGAGAACATCGACTGGCCGCCTCCTGCATGCCCCCCACTGGGGCTCGGGCCCACAGCCTGGGCATGTGCCCTGACCGGGAATCGAACCGGCGACCTCTTGGTACATGAGTCGATGCTCAACCACTGAGCCACACTGGCCTGACTAAATTTAGATTTTTTTTTAATGTGTTGTTTCAAAACGTATGATAAACTTTTTTCTTACACTTTTCCATTCTGAAAGTGGAAAGCAAAGAAAATGTCTGATAAACTGGGTCCTCTAGGCAGTAGGACCCTGACTCGGCAGTAGGACCCTGACTCGGCAGTAGGACCCTGACTCAGCAGTAGGACCCTGACTCGGCAGTAGGACCCTGAAGCTTCTAAGCTGCTTGAAGAGGTACCTGGGGCCTCACTGGCTTCTGTGTGTCCACGAATCAGTGCCTAGGGAGATGGTGCCAACCACGAACAGGAAGACTACTGGTACACATATTTACAGTAGTGTTACTGAAAAGAAATGAATGATTTATAGTCGGAAGGTTAGTTCATGGGTGATAACTTCCTGGACTTCACTGTAGAAGAAACTGCTCTAGAAATAGACTACAGGATCTATTTTTCTGGGTGACCACATGTTTGTTCCTACACTGAACAGTCTAGTGGACTAACGCAGCCGCCTTGACCTTGTACTGTTGGGCCTGCCTTTCGGTGGCGGTACATCTGCTCGTGCCCGGAGGTGTTCTGAAGTGGGTCACTCATCCTTGATCTCATGAACTAAAGGCCAGGTAGTATCGCAGACCGAATGCAGTAAAGCCACACTGTCCCCTCCCTCTGTCCCTGCTCTGACCTCTGCAGATGTTGATGAATGCTTGGAGAACAGATGTCACCCCTGGGCTGCCTGCTACAATACCCCTGGCTCCTTCTCCTGCCGCTGCCAACCTGGCTATCACGGGGACGGACTTCAGTGCACACCGGGTAAGGTCTGGCGGCCAGATTAGGCAGAGAGCTCGCTCCTTCTGCGCTGTTTTTCTACAGCACTTCAGCCCACTCTTGATCTATCTGGGTGGAGGCCGTAGTAAGTGGATCTGCAGGCTCTGGGTTTTCCCCTCAGTTACCACCAGCTGCTTGGTTTGCTGCCAGGTCACTGGCTGTTAGCGTTCTGGGAGGCCCGGAGTGTGCCCACCCACTGGCCTCCCTGGGCACAGGCACCCATGTGACTGCTCTAGGACTTGGCCCGCACCGTGCCGTCTAGTGCTGGCCACTGACCTGGAGTGTCTCAGATGTAAACTCTGGACCTTGGGACACACAGAGCTTTGTTTTCTCCTGCGTCCCTTGGGATGTTTGGACAGAAGCCACGGTTGCTCTTCATTTTATCCAGACAGCACTGGAAGCTGGGGGGGAAGGGAGGGGCCGTGTTACAGTCAAGTCAGCCTCGGGAGAATCAGGGAGATGCTAAGGAGTTATTAAGTGGCAGAGGTAAAATAATCCAGGACTCCCAAATCCCAGCACCTTGCTGTTTTCCCCACATCACGCTGCCTCCCAATTATAGAAGAAAGAAACTCAGACAAGAGAACCTGAGGTGGGCTCATAAAAGTGACGGGCCGCAATGCTTTCTGTTTCTCCTTGTCCTGGGCCGCGCCCTGGAAGACACCACCTCGGGACTGAAAACCTGTGAACGTCAGCAGCGTGCGGCCCAGGCTCAGCACACCTACCCCGGCACCAGGATCCACATCCCCCAGTGTGATGAGCAGGGCCACTTCCTGCCACTGCAGTGCCACGGTGGCACCGGCTTCTGCTGGTGCGTGAACCCTGATGGTCAGGAAGTGCCTGGGACCCGCACTCCACCCGGCTCCAATCCACCTCACTGCGGACCACCCGGTGAGCCGGTCTGGAGGGAAACCTTGTGCAGGACACTGGTTGTGGGTAGAATAACCCCTGCCCAGACCATGCAGACTCAGGGCTGAGGACCCTCCTTTTGTGACACCATCCTCCTTCCTCCTGGGAACACTCGAATGATATGTGCACACCTACACGCACGTTCACTCTAGAGACATGCACATGTGACATATGTGAGCACTGTCCCGCATTGGACTCCAGCCTCCTTGACCCTCGCCTAGTACCCGACTAGCAGCTGAGACTGAGTGACCGGCTTTGGCCACCGCCCTAGATCTGTTGTGGCAGTTTAGAGATGTTAGAGGATCTTGTCAGACCAGCCTTTTGTCCAAAAGCAGTGGTTCTCAACCTTCCAGACGCCGCGACCCTTTAATACAGCTCCTCATGTTGTGGTGACCCCCAACCGTTGCTACTTCATAACTGTAATTTTGCTACTGTTATGACCTTATAAAGGGGTCGCGATCCACAAGTTGAGAACCACTGTCCAAAAGAAAAACTGCCTTCCCATATAACTAGATCGCTTAACTTTGCCTTCTGAATTGGAAGAAACTGCCTGAAGGCTATTTTTTAAATGTTTTTATTTTTTATCCTACCCAAGGATGGAGATATATATATATATTTGCATTTATCTTCAGATAGAGCTTGAGGGGTAGAGGGAGGAAGAGAGAGTGAGAAACATCTGTGTGAGAGAGACACGTCAATTGGTGCCACCCACACAACCCCTACTGGGGCTGGGGACGAACTGCAACTGAGGTACATGCCCTTAGCAGGAACCGAACCCGGGACTCCCTGGTCCGTGGGCCGACACTCTAACCACTGAGCCAAACCAGCCAGGGCTGAAGGCTGTTTTAATAGCATTAGGAAGAACAAGTATGTCCCTTGTGGGTGGATCCAGCTAGCTTGCTCTAAGCTGATAACCCCAGTCCTCCCTAGTCAGCCCAGCATGTCCATGGGGAGGTCACTCAGGTTTCAGCTGCCTTCAGAAGAGAGGTAGGAACCTGTTTTGTGAGCCCACCTGATCTGAGGCTGACGGTGAGCATATCTGTCGTCATCTGACACCCCCCATCCAGCGGGGCAGGGTTATCAAGTGCTCAGGGTTCATGCCAACCACAGGTTGCCAAGGCAGGTTTCTGCTCCCTGCTGAACTGTTCAGGGATGAAAATAACTTTAAAAAACAATACGGAGGAACTTTATTATGAAAAACATAGAACTGGTATGATACCATTTTAACCCAAATAATTCCTTTATCAATGCACTTACTATTCAAAGATCCATTTTTAGTATTGAAAAGGGTTCCATACATACTAGTGTTGGCTTTTAATGTATATGAATATGAAGAGCTGGAGAATTACCACCAGTGCTGATCCTTTTAATACTATTGTTATGGCCAGGACGTTCGTGACTGACTCGTGTAGGTGAGGGTTGGTAATGCTTAATCCAGCTGCAGGCTCATTTCCAGAGACACTCCGAGCTCCTTTCTCTGTCCCTGTTTTAGGAAAAGGTTTTGCAGCCCCCACCCCACCCAATAGAACACAGAGAAATGCTGTCTCACTCGGGCCTGTTTAAAGCCTTGGTTCTACCTCCAGCTGGGATTGGAAGAGATCAGCTGTTTGGGAGGTTCCTCAGGGGAGCGGATCAGACAAGCATGTGTTAAGGACAGTGCCTCGAAAGGGAGCCAAGAGAATGAGAAGTTAGTGACTACAGGAGGGGCGCGTTCTCTGGGGCAGACTTGTTCCCATGGCCCACGCCTGCCTCCCGGCTGCCACTGCTGACTGGTCTCATCTGCATAATGGGGTCAGCTTGAAGGGGGAGAATTGTTTCTGCCCAAGATTTCAAAATATTTAAAACCCTGCCAACCAGAAACAGAAGACAAATAAATCCATGGTTGGATTAAGTAGTAGCTTCAAGTAGGAAGGAATGAGAGGGATGCCCACGTGTGCGTGAAGCTGACTGTGCTGTGTGTCCTCATTCCAAACAAAGAGATGTTCCTCCCTGGGTGGCCCCTGAACCAGGAATGGGTCCTCGGAGTTTGGAATGTGGGCCTGCGCGGTGTCGGGAACTTCTCCAGGGAACCCAGCGCCACCCTTGCGATGGACCTCAAGCATTTAGGAAGTGGCATTTCTCTCTCTGGGTTCACTGAGGCACATCTGGGTGAGGAAGTCAGAGTCTCTCCTTCTCCATGAGGTCTTAACAAGACTGTGCTTCCCAGGGGTCATGAGTACGGAGACAACCTGACGGGCATCCACGTCCCCCAGACCTGGTTGGTGAGTCTTGCCGTTGAGCTAGTTGGATTTGAGCCCAGAGGGTTTTATTCACCATCTTCCTGCTTTCCTAGAGGAATCGTGTTTCCAACGTTGTTCTTTAAAGCTGTTGGAGGTTTTGACCAAAGGAATGACGTGAAATGACTTGGTTTTAGAGGGACTGTATCTGACTGCTGGTTGAGTTTACACTGAGGAGCAAGAAGGAGGGTAGAAGCCGGGAAACCAGTAACAAGGCTATTGCGGTCATCCTGGCTGGGACCAGGGCGACAGGGGTGGATGCGGGGAGAAGTGAAGATACTCCGAAAGTGTTTTAAAGGCACAGCTGACATTTCTTGACATACGGTGAGCGAGAGAAAGGAGCCAAGGATGATTGGACCTGAGCAATGACAGATGGGGGTGCAATTTCACTCCTAAGAAAAAATCCAGGGGCCCAGTTTTTGTTAGTTCTCCTCTGAGATTTCTGTTTGACCAAGTAGGCTGTAGGCTTCTCCACACCGTAGGCTCTGAGTCGCAGGACATGGAAAAGGAGAAGCACTTGCCATTGCAGGTCCTCAGGTAAGCCTGCCACAGAGGCTGTCCTGCAGGCGTCCTCTCAGAACTGCCGTGTTGGGGACACGGCCTCGGAGGGGAGAGGAACTGCTCTGCGAGAGAAGCTAACGGGGGCTGAAGCATGGCCATGAGCGGGGAGGGGAGCGGCAAGGGGGGAGGATGTGGAGAAAGGAGACAGAGCCACATGGTGGGAAGGTGGAGCCTATACAAAGAGGTTCAGCTTTGAGATAATCCCAGGAACAGAGTAGCCAGAGGACTTCTAGGAACTGGAGTGTCACCGCCTCTACTAGGCTCCTGAATACCCATTACGATAAGTCATACTTTCACCAACATCGTCTCCCAGTGGACGGATACCGAGGGCCACGTAGTTGGACATTCGGTAATGTCCTGTCAGTCTCAAGATAACCCTCTCAGATTCAAGTCCTAGAGTGTGAGGCAAGTGGGGAATGATCCAGTATTGGCTTTAAGCATCACGTAAGCCCCGAGCCCCACAGGTGTTAGCAGGGGCCCTGGGCCTGGGTGGAGTGGCCTGCACGGTTGTCCGGAGTGAGATCATCCCCCTTCCCAGGCTGAGTGAGCCTGGCACTCTGATCTTAACCTCCGCTTGTTCTTTCGGGATGTGGTAGGGCCTTGATGGCAGGTCCTTCTGGCCTAGAGAGGCAGGGGCATCGATGACCCCCTTCTCCTGCTCTGGGCCAGTGCTCAGGGGCTCGGCGGAGGCCCCGCGAAGGCACACGAGGAGGGTGGCCAGGCACCGGGCTCTTGAGCTACATGCTGCACTCTGTCCTTGGCTTACGATCAAAGGCTTTTCTGTCCCATCTGCTCAGCACCCACCCAGAGGCCCCAGACGGTCTGTGAGCGCTGGAGGGAGAGCCTGCTGCAGCACTACGGCGGCCCGCCCCGGGACGACCAGTACGTGCCCCAGTGTGATGACTGGGGCCACTTCGTCCCCACGCAGTGCCACGGGAAGAGTGACTTCTGCTGGTGTGTGGACAAGGACGGCAGAGAGGTGCAGGGCACCCGCTCCCGGCCAGGCACCCCCCCTGCATGTAAGCGGCACGGAGGCTCCTCCGCAGGGAGGCTGTGCGGGAAGGTGGGCAGTCAGGGGGTCGGCAGCTCCAGTGAACGAAGCCACTACTGTGCTGTGTGGATTTATAATCTGCTCCACCCAAGATCCCAATTTGGACTTCATGTTTGGTTTTGTCATTAGCAGTTGCTGTAATTAGAACATCTGGAACTCAGTTCAGCACGAAGTTACTCCCCTTCCCCAGCCCAGGGTGAAAGGGGACGTGTGTCACCCTGGGGCCCCAAGAAGAAGCTGACACAACACTGGCTCTGTTTTTTTTTCTTAAAAAGAAAAAAACCAGAAAACTTGCTTTGTTCTGAGGGAAATGTGTTGTCTTCCTCCCTAGTAATTGGCAGTGATTTACATAATTGATCTTTGAAGAAAAAAACCTAGAAATTATAATTTCTTTAAAGGAACATCTGGAGCACATCTGTCTAGGTTTAGGAACTTTTGATGTGCTTGGAGGCTCTGGTCTGTGGGAAAGTAACTTCTCTCTCTCCCCACCCACCCTTGTTTCCTCTGCTCCTCGCACCGGCCCCTTCACCATGGCAGGTATACCCACGGTTGCTCCACCCTCCTTCCGGCCCTCGCCCCGGCCCGATGTGACCCCTCCGTCTGTGGGCACCTTCCTGCTCTATGCCCAGGGCCAGCAGATTGGCTACTTGCCCCTCAGTGGTACCAGGATTCAGAAGGACACGGCCAGGACCCTGCTGTCGCTGCATGTAAAGTGGATTTCCCCCGTGGGGGTGGAGCCGTGCGGGGTTGCAGATCTGGGGAAGGGCCGAGATGGAGGGAGGTGGTGGATTCCTGGGCTGCAGTCTGTTTTCATGGGCCTGACACCAGCACCGCAGAAAGTGGGGTTGTTGCTCGGTCACGCCTGCCCAAGGCTGCCGCCTCGTCGGTTCGTGGGGTTTCAGGTGTATGAGAAGCGCAGGACACTGAGGCAGTGTCGTGATCCAAGGGAAGACCAAGGCTCTTGGAACCCAAGTCCCCAGGGTTCTTTCAGCGCCTCAGACATTCCAGAGATCTAGAAATCAAACAACAGGAGCAGCTACAGGGTGTGGTTTCTGCGGTCAGTTGAGAATCCCAAGAGGAAACCCATTAATGATTGCCTCATCCGTGCAGCCCCGTCCCCTCCCGTTTTGGTTCGTATCTCATCTTCTCTGGCTCCTTCGAAGATGAAGATTGGGGCGAGCGTGATGCTGGAAAGGAGTGGATGGAGCCTCCCTAGGGATGCTTGCCGCTCCTGGCCAGCAGCCCCCACTGGCAGGCACCTCTGGGGGGAGGGCGCTCACCCAGGTATTTGTTCACCAGTAAGAACAATAGTGTCCACGTTCACGTTCACTTCTGTTGATGAACTAACTCCTTATCTGGTTACAAAATGTTTAGAAGCAGCCAGTGTTTAGAAAAGATATTTTTTCTTCCTTTCTAAGAGTCGAGGTTGTGTGTGTTTTCCTGGCAAACACTAGCGTGCTCATTTATAGAAGTCTCTCTAAGAGACAGAAACTCCAAATGACTCTGAAGTCATCTTGTGGGTCAATGGATCCCATGATTCCCTGGGTTAATGGAAGCCCCTGTGGATGTGTACTCTTGTCTGAGACACGTGACTTTTTAATTTTCAAGTAAAATTATACTTGACCTTCAGACCCCCCCACCCCATATAAACTGTTCTTTTCCACAGGAGCCAAATCCTCTGTAGTGTTCCTTGTGCTGACTCCTCCCCCAGAGGCAGAAGTCACGCCAGCCCCAGGCTTTGTCAGGCAAACTGGAGCTGGCGTGGCCTCAGGGACAGCCAGATGGCCCCGAGATGTTGGCTTTGCACATCTGCCGGGCTTCTCAATGCAGAAATCTGGGTTGGAAATTGAATGTGTGCAGAGTTTTGAAAAGGAAATCACAGACTCAGCAAAGTTTTAAAAAGATTTCGCATTTTATTTAGCAATAAGGAAGGAGGGCAGACCTCGCTAGCCAGAAGTTGGGTAACCGACATGCCCCAGTTCCTTAACTCATCAAACTGTAGCCTTTCCTTTCCCTAGAGTACAACCAAAGAACTGCGTTGCAGTGAGAGGCAGCGTTGGGGGTAAGGGTCACTGCACTGTAGCTGGGGAAAGATCTTATATCACAGGGGTGGGAGGGGGAGATGTTGTTGTTCTATGTTGGCAAATTTTAGAAAGGCTCATTTGGAAAGGAATTTCTGTTTTTGCCCAGTAAAATATTAAGACCTTCCTTTGCTGAGACTAACATTTGTCCTCTAATCACTGAATGGGCTGATTTCTTTCATGCAGTTGCACTTTTGGTTTTACTGCCAAAGTATTAGTGCTTATTCAGAGCTTACTGCCTATGAATTTCTGATTAGGACACTTCACAAGTATCTATGGTATTAATTTTTATAGCAGCCATATGAAGTGTAGGTACTATTATCTTCATTTTAGAAATGAGAAAACAAAGACACAGAAAGCTTAAGTACCCAAGTTACACAGCTAGTAAGTGGCCAAGCTTGGCTTTGACTCCAAGAAGTCGGCCTCCACAGCCTACATGTCTAACCACGGAGTTGGCTGCCGAGAGACTCCGTGTGGGCTTGTTCACTGCAGGCGTGCATGGGTGAGGCAGCGGAGGGTGAACTCGGGGGAAATCCAAGGAGTCCTAATTCCTCCAATTCTGTTTTGGTCCACACAGGGCTCCATAGTTGTGGGAATTGACTATGACTGCCGGGAGAGGATGGTGTACTGGACAGACGTTGCGGGGCGAACAATTAGCCGTGCCAGTCTGGAAGCAGGAGCAGAGCCTGAGATAATCATTAACTCAGGTCAGCAGCTTCACTCAGAAGACACTTCCCGTTTCATTTGATTCTACTAAGTCCAAGTTATTTGCCTGTTTTATGCCAAAGTCTCCCCTTATTTTCACCCAAGAGGGGAGGTTAAGTTCTATGTAAGTCACTTTTTTTGAGCTATACAATAACATCCTCTCTATAAACAAACATGTTCATACATAAGGAATGAGAATGTAATACTTACTATGGGCCCTTTCTAGTGAGAAATGGGGCTCTCGATGGGAAGGGCTCACAGAGAATTCGGGGTGTGGCCCTGGGTGATGCTGCCTGGCCCCAGCACTGTGGATGCCCGGTGACATCAGGCTGCCAGGTCCGTTAGTCTAGATGAACAATTATCAACCGGTGTGCCACTGCACACTGGCGTGCCGAAGGCATTTTTAAAACATGCAACACCTGATTAGTCTTTTCACTTAAATGGTCAAACAAAAAAATAACAACGGCCAACGCGATAGTTCAGAATCAATCAAATTTATACATAATATTTTTGTCAGACTGGCAGAAAATATATTTTTGGTGTGCTGCAGAATTTTAGTAACTAGTCTGGAAGTTGATGAAACCGGCCATGAGATGAAACCGTTAAAAATGTCTGGTCAAGTGGAAACTAGAGGTAGCAGGAAAAATAAAAAAGGATCCTTTATCCATTAACCTGATTCTTCCAACTTAAGAGACTCTCAGGACATTTTCTGTTCAAACATAGATCTCTGTGCTTCAGGTCCACCTGCTCCAGTCCTACCTTTGTTTTATTTCCAGGTCTGATAAGCCCTGAAGGACTTGCCATTGACCACTTTCATAGAACGATGTACTGGACGGACAGTGGCCTGGATAAAATAGAGAGGGCCAAGCTGGACGGCTCTCAGCGCAAGGTTCTCTTCTACACAGACCTGGTGAACCCCCGAGCCATCACTGTGGATCCGATCCGAGGGTGACTTGGGCTTCCCTATTTTTCCATTACCTGTACACCCTGATTTGAAGCCCTTGGATTTAAATGTGGTGTGGGGTCAGAACAAAAGCAGAAATGCTTAAATGCATTAATTTAACAGTATTTACTGCAGAGCTACTAGGTTTCAGGTACTGTCCTACTTTTTATCAGATGACTAGGTATAGGGCCTGAGGTTAACATTTAAACTGCAATGAAGTGGGTCTCCTTCGGCAACACATAGGAAGTCATAGTGTTAAAACCACAGTAGAGTTTACGTCCATTAAATGGTGAGAGTAACCAAAACTCACACACCTGGCATTTTATTTCTCAGGCCTCACTTTCACTGTAGCAAAAATCAAGAATAAAATGTTCCCTGTCTGTTAACTGCTAAGGTCATCACCTGGGACATATAATTTGGTCAATGTTTCAGTACTTGGTAGAACCAGGGAGGACTTCTATACTTGAGAAACTCTTGCCATATTTAATGGGGCTTCTACCAAATGAAATGCCAGAGAAAACCCTTTAATCAGTAAAGAAAACATTCGGCTTTACATTTCTGCAAAGTGTTTTTGACTCAGAAATACTTAGTGAAAAGCCTCTAAGATGGTTCTGAAATTTGAGTTCTGCACGTTGAGGAAGGTGTTTCTTTCTCTATTCCATTTAATTTATCCACAGCAACTTATACTGGACAGACTGGAATAGAGAAGCTCCTAAAATTGAAACGTCATCTTTAGATGGAGAAAACAGAAGAATTCTGGTGAATAAAGACATTGGACTACCCAATGGCTTAACCTTTGACTCCTTGTCCAAGCTGCTCTGCTGGGCAGACGCAGGTAATACTACTGATGGAATGCAAACACAGAATGCTTCGTTACGGTGGTGCCAGCACTCAACAGACTTGACAACAAAACCAAATCCCATCTTTTAGATTTTCTGGCTTAAATTTATAATAGCACAGCACATACAATCTATTCCTTTGGTATATAAACTTTTAAAGAACACTTTGTTAATGATGCTTACAAATGAACTTCCTGGGATTTTAGGTGTGAATGTGAATTAGGCAATTAAGTTTCAGGGGTAGTATAACATCTAACTCTTTGTATTGCGTGCCATCCCCCCACATGAGCACTGGGCATACTTTTTAAGTTAAAAAGAAGTATTACCCACTGTTGGAACTGACGGACTTAGATAAATGAATAAGAGGTTCTAGGGGGTTTCTCTTTGGCCAGTGTTATAAACTTACAAGCATCTGTTTATCAGTCGGTATGCTGAGGACATTCTTTGAAAAGTGAGGTGGCAGCATGGCTTCCTTCAGTAATGAGTTTGGGTTGCCAACACCTAGGCTAACCTTTTCTGTTGTGTGATTTCATTATTAGCACAACTGAAAAGATGCTGTATGTCTAGTTATATACTAAATAATATAAAAAAGGCCATTCTTAACAAATTTATAATCTAAAAAGAGACTATAATGCACATGGGTCATTATTATAGCCCAGCTGTCCAAACAGTTACATTTTTTTAAAAGTATTTAAAATTTAAATCCAGGTTCCATAAGAAATGTGAAACTTGGAAATGTTTAACTTATTTAGCTATTGCAAAATTTTCACGATTGGCTTCCTTCACATTGAAAAAGATGAGCCATGTCACCACATTTTATTCCTGCCTAGAAACTAATCTCTTAAAAAAAAAAAATTTAAGGAGTTTAGTTAAAAGGCAGCCTGGCTATTATGCATTACTTACAAAGGGCAAATATTTATCCAAATGTTTAAAATTTATGAGCTAACACTTGAAAGTATATCAATTATTAAAAAAAATTATCTCTAATATCCTACTTTGGGAGAAACTTGGCCAAATCTCTATAAATGCAGTCCTTTCTTCCAAAAAAGGATCAAGAGTTTAAACTCTATTAAAAACTAGAATGCTATCAAATCAACTAGACTGGTAATAGAACAGAAAATTTTAGTTTTTAATCTGTATCACTGCAATGGGAACAAAATGTTTCTTATTCTACCTTTATGACAGAACTTACCTGCCACTGTTATTTTCGGCAAGTTGTTAGTTCCCCCAGGTATGGAAGTGTCTCATTTTCCCTCTTTGACGTTTTCAAAGGAACGAAAAAACTGGAGTGTACACTGCCTGATGGAACTGGACGTCACATCATCCAAAACAACCTCAACTACCCCTTCAGCATTGCTAGCTATGCAGATCACTTCTACCACACAGACTGGAGGAGGTGAGCCGGCACTCTTCCGGACAAGCCTGAAAAGGCAAACTGGGTCTTCGGAGACACATCACTTGTTTCATCAAGTGCCAACAGTGACTTTAGTAATTAAGCCCTCTACTTAAGTTTTCATTTTGTTGTCTCTTCATTAATAGATAACATCATTCAAATGTTACCCAGAAATTTAATGGTATTGCTCACATGTAGCTTAAAAGTGGCAGATCTATTAGGTAATCAACTATCCAAAAAGGAAGCACTTTCATCTAAATCTGCTCTTCAAAGAGTAAGACTAGCTTAAGTGGCACCATGAAGTATATTAATTATATAACTTTAATCAATTTTTAAAGATGACATTGTAGACTTACTAGCTGTCTACCAGTTTTCCAAAGAGGAACTGGGGAACAAAAAATATATACAGGGCTGGCAAAAGTAGGTTTACAGTTGTTCATGTGGAAAGACATGCAAGTTATGATCATTATAATAGTTTTAACTCAAAATGTCACAATAAACCTACTTTTTGCCCACCACTATATAGTGTCTGAGCCCTTCTACCCTGTCCCCTATAATTTTTATTTAATTTGTGGCCAGGCATCAGTATTTTAACAGATCCTCCTGTGATTCCAACATGCAGCTAGGATCAGTCATCCTGAGGGCTTGTTAAACATGTTCCTGGGTCCTATATTCCAGAATTTCTGATTCAGTAGGTCTGAAGAGGGGCACAAGGACTTGCATTTCTACCAAGTTCCCAGATGATGCTGATCTGAGGACCACTGATATATACCTAAATGAGTCAAAACTCATTAATTTTAAAAAAGTATTCCAGAAGGCCAGAAGATTTTTTTCCTATTGAAACTGACTTTTTCTATCCAACTTTACATCCTATGACTTCACTCTTCCTTTCTGTTACCAGGGATGGGATTATATCAGTCCACAGAGACAGTGGCCAGTTTACTGATGAGTATCTCCCAGAGCAGCGATCTCATCTCTACGGGATAACTGCAGTCTACCCCTACTGCCCAGCAGGTAAACCAATATGCTCAGCCTGTGTCTTTGGATCAGCAGGACAGATCTGGTAACTGATTACCCTTGGCCCAGATATTGGCTGTTGCCATTGACACTGCCACTGGTGAGAGCCACTTTCAGCTGGAAAAGTTAATGGCCAACACATGGGGGTGACCAGTGCTTACTACCTTAAGTCTACCTAGCTAAACTATACACAAAAAAAGGCTAGCCTCTTAGGATATTTCCCTTTTAAAAGACTTGTTGTTGAAACTCAGTTATAAAATACTTAACCACTGTCCCCTCCCACACTTCCCCTTACAGGAAGAAAGTAAATACAGCAGCATAAAGGACCTGAGTTTACAATCAGAATCTGGACCCTAAAGAACATTTACTGCAAACAAAGGTGAAGAAAGTAAAAAAGGAATTGGCCATTAGAAGTTCCTGGAGATACAAGATGGACATTTTCAGTGCAAAAAGACTAAGTATATTTTGTGAAAAGTTTATACCTCAATCTTTACTACTGTATTTTTAAAAACAGAAGTTATTGCAAGTTTAAAAGAGGTAATAGAATTTTAATTGTTGCTTATTACAGCAACTTTTTATAAAACATTTGTATCATATTTAAAAATTCAAATTCATTCAAACTAAGAACCAATTAGAAATATGTTAAGACCCTTTCTGAGTTATTTTTGGCCAAGAAATTAAAGCACATATAACCAGTATAAAATTAAAATCTTAAAGATCATAAACCTTGACATAGAGAAGGCTATGCACAACTGATGGGAAAGAACCAACTTATTTATAGTTTCCCAACAAAAGTTCTAAGTTGTTCTTTTTTTTTTTTACCTCTGCATCAGTGCATTTCTATTTATATTAAAAGGTGCTAGAATATTTCAGTTTGTATTTTCTGATCCTATAAATCCCTCTATAGAATAACCCACAGAAATTACCACATTTATAAAAACCAAAGATGTATCAGTCTCAAATTTTCTAGATTACTCCAATAAAATATTTTAAATGTTCCTATGACTTTTGAGGATCTGTACTGTTTCTATAACAAAGTTGGGGGATGGCATGTACCTTAATCATAAAGGAAGAAGCAGATTAATTAAATGTAACACACAGTCCAAAAAAATCTACTTTCCCAAACTTTATTAAAGAAAAAGAAATGATGGTAAATCTCTAAAACATAGTTAATTTTCTGGGATTCTTCCCTTAAAAATGTGGTGTTTGATTTCAAAACACATACCAGGGCGTGCATTGTTCCCAACTGTACTAAGTAGGCAAGAGGCTGAAATCCTAAAATGTTCATCTTCCAACTTTTCCCAGTCTGTGGTCTGTCTTTGGATCGGCAATAATTGCCTGAACAGCTACTATGGCTTCATTAATTTTTGTCTGTAGGTCTCTGAGCTCTTCTATATGCAGCAATCTCAGAATTTGAGCAGCTTCATTAAGAACTGCATCTATTTATAAGAAACATAGCATTAATCAGTATCTTTTGTATTTAAGACAATTTACTCATTCATTTCCTCCAAATGTTCATCAAGTCTCTAAAAGTAATTTGAACAAAACCACTTACCTCCTGTGTCAAAACCAAGAATATGCTTGTCTAAAGCAACAGGCAATCCCTTAAAAAAAAAAAGGACAAAATGAGACTATAGTTAAGTATCACGTTCTTTTCTCATCTAAAACTGAAAAGCAGCTAGCTATTTTGTTATTTTAACCCTTTTAGTCATAGTAGTAAGGGGAATGAGAATTCTCTAGAAAATGGCCTTTCAAGGTAGTGGAAAGCTAGTTCCATAACCCATCCAATCCTTTAAGACAGGCACATAAAATAGCTCCATTTTGTTGCAGTGTCCCTGTCACTGCAGGGCTGCTATTGTTCCATTTTACCTACAGTAAGCAGCGGTGTACAGGGCAAATAGAATAGGACTACTTTTAATATTGCTTTCCTCAAGCAGGTTTATTTCTGAGCACATTAATTTGTTTTTGCAAATTGTATAAATCTAAAATATAGTTTTTCAGCCAGCATTTTTACCAGATTATCTACATATAATTTAACTTTCAATAGTTCATTTTGAAGTTACTTTGAAATAGGATAGGAAAATGAATAGAATCTAAACCATTTAGCTAACCAGTCAACACCTGCATCTAGGTATACTACAGAGGGTGATTATGATGATGCCAAACCACATGGAGTTCACAAACTATCAAATAAAGATAAGGACAGGCAGTCTAGACTTTCTGTTGATTATACTGAATAAATTCATTACCAGTAAAAAAGTCACTACACTTTTCAATACTACAAATGCTAAGCTGCAGTATTTCATTCTTGCCTACTCCATTCTTGCCTATTCTGCTTCAAAATAGCTAATAATAAACGGACATGAAAATTCAGTGAGCAAAACTAAAGAGAAGTGTACTGAGTGGCTTTCTATGTTAGGCTGGTACCAGATGTTCTGTTTACCCTTTGTCTGCCAAACAACCAAGGAACACATATGGCTGAAGATGATCACATGGCTAGTCATGGTATCTTTTGAGATGACATTAAAACTAAGATTTGGAGCACTGAAAATAAAACTAAATGTTACTTTGCAAACAGCAGCAGTGATTTGGCTATGTCCTCATTTGCACTGCCTTCCAAACCATAGCTTTACTGAATAAATTTATTATACCAGAACAATTTACTGTCTGTTCTATAGTGTGGGAGAAACAGACTGATCTTTAACTCAATTTCCAGTGGCTGGATTCATACACAGTTAATAATCTAATAAGAACCTTGAAAAGAAACTGAATGTCTTTCAGAGGGGAGGGGAGGGGAGGACTCTTACCTAGCATTAATAACCTTTTAACACTGCCAGGCCTTGTTAAAGATGGGGTCAGAGGACAAATGACACTGGGGAACTGGGGGAGGCAAAAAAAGGGCCAGGGTCCAGGATGGTGGCTGCACCAAAGGCATTCACTGCAACATCTGCATAGCAGGAAGGGGCCTCTTTAAACACCTGCAGCTGCTGCTAACCCGTGAGGACATTCTCTGTACTGCCTCACAGTCAATGAGACTTGAGGGATATTTAGATTTCTGGTACAGTTCATCTAAAAACATCCCAGAATTACTAATTAGCTATGGTGTAGTTTGCTCATTCTACAAAGATGAGTTTCAGTCACCTGTACCCTGAACCTCACACTCTAATAGCCCCTCTATCCCCCTTCACCTAGGATATAACTAGCTCATGGAAACCACCACACACAGACCCTGTCCTCACCCACCGTGAATCAGACTGCCTGAACTCAACCACTTATCAACTAGGTGACCTCATGCAAGTTACTTATGTTTTATGCTAGGAAACAGAAAAGATGAGAAGATACATCTCTGAAGAAAAAAGAGTGAGAGCAAGATTTAGGTCAAAAAGAAAATTATTAACAGAAGGTGTGTCCTGTTTCCCAGCAATTAGTCAAAATAACCCAGTAAATTTCACAACAGCACATTCTTTTAAATAAACTTCAACTAGGTACATGCAGTGGTTTATACTGGCAGCTGGATACACTATTGGTAGCTTATCTTAGGTATGAAGGGAGATGAACAATTAGTTCATTTTACACTATTGGTAGCTTATCTTAGGTATGAAGGGAGATGAACAATTAGTTCATTTTACACTATTGGTAGCTTATCTTAGGTATGAAGGGAGATGAACAATTAGTTCATTTTTCACTCAAAATGACTATACAATATGCTTAGAAACCAAATTCAATCCCCTTGAATTAAGCTATCCTTTCTTTTGGCAGTTCTAATGTAGAATGGATATATTAAGCAGAAAAATGCAGAGTTTAAAGCCATGACAATATCAAAAGAAACTCTCATTAATAATTACTTTAGACTTTATTAAAAAAAAAAAATACATACCTCTTTTGTTTGACTTGCTTTAGCAATTGCCTCCTGTGTCAGGCGCTCTTGGACCAAAATGCGAATTGCCTAAGAAACCCAAAAATACTGTTTTTAGTTTTCAACTTTTCTTCTATGAGTCTAGATTAGAAGGATGCCCAGTTTGATAGTTAGAATTACCTAGTTCATTAACAAACTCCCGATTAAAAATTAGAAACAAAAACTGTAATAAAAGTTCTCACATTTAATATTTAACACTGTGGAATGATGCCTAAAACAATTTAAAACATTTTTTGAATAGGTAACTCATGTGTGTGGTAAAAAAAAAATATATTTTAAATGAAGAAGGACACATTGTAAAAAGTAGGTCTCCAGCCTCAGCCATCCCTCCAGAAGATAATCACTAGGACCAGATCCTTGTCTCCTTACCAGGGCTCTTATTAAATTACAAGCATACTCAGGCAAACATGTGCACACACATGTGATCTCTGACACACAGGCTCATACACACTGTCATTGCTTCTTTCACTTAATTATAGTAAAATGTTTTCAGGTCTTTTACAGAACACATTGTTTTTTTCTTTTTCATCACCAAGGCATATTATTATAGCAAACACAGTGTATACATGCATCTGCACAGACTCAACAACAAAAAGGATTTTATATGGAATTTTAACTAATGGATGTCAATTACAACTCAAAAATTAGTATGAAAACTGGAAATTTAATGCTACATTTGAAAATAATTTAACCAATCGTTAACAGTGATTGCAAATATAAACAGTCTGGTTGTCAAAACAGTTAATATACTGATTCTTACACTTGGCAAATCTATGAAAATGTTTTCCATGTTGTTATGTATTGTTTGCATCTTAAAATAACTCAAAGGGACAATCATGCAGCTAGGATTAGAATTTTATTAAGCTTATGATTATAGCTGACTTTTACTTTTTTCCACTGAGTGTTTAAAGTGTAATGAAACGTATCCTCAAAATGCTAACATTGTATTTCTCCTCCCAGTTTATGATTAAAGCTCATATGAGTATTATAGAACTGTTCCAAAGCAATTTACATAATTGCCTGAGTAAGGAACAAGCCTTTGAAAGAGCTAAATTTCACTAAATACAACTTTTTGTCTCTTGGCATCCAATCTGAGTTGAGAAAATCCAAACTGACATTCAGATTCAGCATACAAAATTATAATAATCTAGAAACAGAACAGTCTTCCCCTTGTTACAACTGCTATTTAATACATACAATTCTAAAAAGTGGAATAAATTATGGCTTAATCTCTTGTGGGCAAAGTAAAGTTTAATTATTCAATTCACTGCAAAATAGTTTAACAGTAATTTACATTCACAAGGTATAGATTTTTATGAGAAACTAAAACTTTAATTTCTCATAAAAATCAGAAACTTCTAAAATAATTTTCAAGTCTGGTATCTTAAGTACCACTCCCCTCCCCCGACCCTACTATACTATCACGAACGACTACTTGGCATAAATCTTCTTAAGTATGAGTACATTTTTCCTCTCAGAAATAACAGACATTTTTTAGACCACTGGGATCCCTGAAGTAGAGGTATGAACTGAGG